CTGAATTGTTCGAATTTTGTTCCGATTTCATTCCTACTAGTATACGTTACAGCCTTTTGAAGCCACATCCACCACTCGTAGTGATATCACTCGACGGTTATGCACATAATTTTTTGTCTCGAAAGCTGCAACCTACATTTGAAAGGATCGCCAAATGCGGAGTCACTGCGGAGGTGCCTTTTGTCCTTTTTCACTGGTTTTACTGGAATCTTCCACTTACACTTAACTGCATCGAGAGCATCCGGTATATGTAAAAGTGTAGAAACGAAAAGGCTTCCTGGTGAAAATATAGTTGGGAGGGCTACTTCCGCGCAGTGGCCCTCCCTGGCTCGATCTATGTTCGTGTTTTCTGAAAAGCGGCTGATCCAGCTAGGTCTCCTCTTCCCTTTAAAGACCTTTACGCTCTCAAAAATTGAGTGCGGATCATAGATTCCTACTCACTTCTTCTCAATTATCCAGCACATCTCCAAATCCTCGATTAAATCAAATTGCCGTGTTTGTTGTTTTTATACTATACAATCATATATCCTTCTTATTTATAAAGCAGTAACTTGGTGTGTCGTTTGTAGGTTTGTCGGTTTGTCGGTTTGTATGTCTGTCCGTCCGCAAACTTTATGATTACGATAAAGACAGTGATATGGATAACTCAGTTGTATCCTACATTCCTCTGCATTACCTCACTTAAAAAGGGGGAAGGGGGGGAGGGAAGGGCATTTTTGACTGCTCAGTAAATGTAAGATATGGGGGACCGGCGTGAGCTGGGCGACCCAACTGGTTTTCATATATCCTAGGATTATTCAGCAACTGGTGATTACATCATAAGTTTACGTTAACTGGTTACGGTGTCAGGTGCAAGCTATTTGCGGTTACTCCAAATTCTATTAGAGTCTAGGCCATTTATAGATTACGTTCCAAACTGTTTGTCTGTACACGCATTTGATGGGCGACATGTATATAGATCTTGATTTCATGAGTATTTAGCGCAAATCTTATTTATTATTTTCTTTTCCATTTTTCAGAGGGTTTTCCCAAGTTTTCCTTCATCGACGTTCCCGAATCACTACACAACGGTGACAGGTCTGTATCCTGGACATCATAACCTAGGTGGGTTAACTATGGTTATTGCTGTGTCTTCCTAGAAAAAATCTTTATGTCGGAACTTTGCATGATTTTTAATGAGGTTTGAATCTCACCGGTGGTAACCTTTCAAAGTAATTCACTTTCCAGTTGCCAATATGATTTTTGACCCTGCAGTTGCTGGAAAGCCACTTTATTTGGGTACACATCAAAGAGACGAATTTTATACCGAGGAACCTGTGAGTAACAGTTTCCTTTCACTTCCGCTTATACTTGCAGTCGACTAGAAGTTGAATAATTTTATTTGAGCCTATGACTAGATTTTGAAAATTGCTTACATCGGATTCGACAGATTTTGCCTCCGGCTTGGAGGAATGTCTTTAGCTGGGCGTCTAGTACTGAAGAGCTTGGTCGGGTAGAAAGGAAGGCGGTTTGTGGCGTTTCTGCCGGAAAAGAAACACTCGTAGTGTGATTCCACTAATTATCTTCCAGTACCATTACGTTTTTGAATTTGTGTGTGTGTGAATTATCCCAAAAGTGCTGATTCAGAACACCCATAGAACGAATTCCTTTCTCTCACAACATTCTACCGTTGTTCGTTTGCGTCCTATCATCCCTTTCCCTTTCGGGATAATGTTAGTGCGTAGGCACGGAGGTTATGTTTTCAAATGAAGTTACAAAGAAGTTATTGTGAGCTGCAAATTAGTGGTGTCATTCCCGCATCAGTGATGAAACATTCATTTGGGAAACCCGCAGAAAGGCTATGATGAAGGTTGTTCATATTTAATCCGTACATTATTAGCAGCTGCGAAACAATTACACAGTGCGTAAAGTATATGACACCTCACGATTTTGACTTATCGAGCTTGCCAGTTGATTTTGAGCTGAAACACCACTATCATACAAATATTGGGGTGGAAAAACCCTGGAATAATTGTTCTTGCGGAAACGTCGGCATGCTTTCACTATTTCATCTAAGAAAAAAGTCTTTGTAACAAAACTATGTAGACACCATACAAAGGAAAGGAACATGAATGAGATCAATAATCGATCGGCCCTCCTGAGTTCCTGATCAGCTCGAACATTCTATTAGGTATACTCTAAACCATGATTGTGATGGTCGTGTTGTCGATTGATTATCAATCAGCCAGGATCGCCGCGTTCACTTCCTCCACGCTGTTGTACTGGTGGTTATTGAGGTGGACTCGCCGAGCCATGATTCCCCATAGGTTTTCAATGGGGTTGCAGTCATGAGAACAGGCTGACCAATCCATCACATATGCACCTTGGCGTTAATGTTCAATTCATTGGCAAACCCGGTAAACCAAAGTATTGAGGCGTCCACATAATTTTGTTACGCACTGTAGTAAAGATATATTTTGTAGGTTGTTAATTCATCTATGTCGAATCTAGAAATTTTTAGTATCTTGAGATGAGATTGTCGCGTTTTCAAACCCCTTCTACCCAGAGAAAAGAAGAGCTTCGTAACACTCCTGGCTTAATATCATCAAGTGCCCTTATAATTAAGAGGCATTTTCAGATCTGGTCGATTTACAAAAGAATAACTAATCGTAAAACCGCGACATTTGCGTGGGTTGGATCACAACATAATAGCACACGTAGGCTCCTTTGATCTCTCTTTCCAACCTGAAAAGTCTTAGGGTTAGTTGTTCCCTGTCGCAATTCTGAGCGAAAAGTGCCGCCTCGAATTTCCGCCCAAGGAGGAAAAAACCTTACTCTACTTATTAAACCCATGAACGCAGATATTTGCAAGGCGGACAATTTACAGGGTATATACAGGCAGATTATAGGACAATTTACAAAAGCGGACAACCTCTCCAAGAACGATTTGATGCGGTAAGAAGGACACGGTGTAGTTCTCAATGAGTGTATTATGTACCGATTAATAGATAATGAAATGGCTTCAAATGGATGATGAAAGTCGTCCGGGTCTTATGATGGTGTATTCGGATGAGCCAGACCATACAGGGCACAGAAACCTTGAAGCGAGGGTAAGTTTTGAACATCACTTGTCGTACCGTTGTCGTAAATTTGTTTGAGCGGGTGCCAGTAAAGTTTCCATTCGTTCCTGTCGCGAGTCAATGTATTCCAGTGGAATCCCTTGCTCTTGAAGCATGAAGCATCTTATTCCTATGCTTTACAGCTTTCAAGCAAAAGTCTGACCTTAGGGCTGAAGTCTGCCTATGGTTATTGTTTGACTTTGTCGTTTGCCGTTTTCCTATGTTTTTGAAATATGGCGAAGTGGAAGCTATCTTACGAAAATTCAATAAGCTTTCATAGTGAGGAATGAGCATTTTTGGTTTTTTTTCAGCTGAATCGAACACTAAAATCGGTGGATAGACACTTCAGAGATTTTCTTGAGACTCTAATGGAAAAAGGCTATCTGGGTTGCATCAATCTAGTTATTGTATCAGATCATGGTAATTTCTTTTTTTTTTTGCCTTTCAGAACCATGATTGTATTCCTCTGCAGTGAAGTCTCTCAGGATAGGGAGTTTTGTTCAAAGATACGGTCCACGATCAAAACTGTTTCCGAGATTCCCTTTAGATGAGCCTATTCTCCCAAAAGATAGCGCAGGTAAAGATGAAGTTGATGAACGCTTAGATAAGACGAAACAAGGGCACTGAATGCGGCTCGGCCAACATACCTACTCAAAAGTGTCCGTGTTTTGATGGCCTTGTAAAGGCTGCAATCAAGTGTTGAAAGTCCAAACAGGTGGTCAGTGAGCATCATAATATGCCATGCAACACCAAAAAACAACTGTACTATTAAGTGAAAAGTAGAGAATAATTGAGAGGGGTAAGTGCACCTCTATTTTCTCAAAACGAAGTTGTAGAGCACGGAGGATTAGGGGAAACAGGTTATCTCTGCGAAACGATAATGACGCTCTGATTGTGATTAAAAAGGGTGGTTCAGTAGGATCGAAATGGTCGCGTCGCGGCGAGAGCGTACGATGGAGTGTAGCAGAATGCAGCAGCAGGTAAGAAATACAGAAGCAGAAGAACTAACATTAGAACCATGTCAAAAATAATAATCGCATAGCGATTGAGCTGTATGAAGAACGCTAGAACTGTAATGGCGAGGCGAATGGTCCGCGACAGCCGCGTGCGGCGGACCAATTACACAAAACCGATCCTACTGCCCTTTTTCCGAGTAGGAATAGTATGCGAGCACGTTAACGGTTGCATTTTCGAAAAGAAGTGGATCAGCGATCAACTGAATGTTCAGCTCCTCAACCGCCTTAACTTTTTGCACATGGTAGTCGTCTCATCCATGTCGTACTTCTCCCCTGTTAAAACGTAGTTTTTCCTATAAATTTACTGTAGTTTTTTTTTTTACTTTTTGTGATATATAATCGAAGGCTTCTTTTTTAGGAATGAGCCGAGTTCGAAGTCATATTCTGCTCAATGATTACGTGAATGTAGACGACTTCTACGCTACATATGGATCTCAAACGCAAATTTTCCTGAAAAAATCGAGTCAGTTCGAGAAAATTTTGCTACATGTTCGATTCACTTCGCGTTTATGTACCACCTTTCCAGCAAGTGTGACGGAAGATGACTTCAAGTTGCTTGGATGTCGTACTGGAAAAAATGCTCGTATTTTTTCTCAACCAACGATGCCTATTCGATTCCACTATCCCAAAAAGACAGCACGAATCGGCGACTTGGTAATTGTTGGAGTACGAGGCGCACGTATTCACAGGTGGGACGATTTTGTTTTCACTTAAAGACACTGTTCGCGGTGATTCAATGGGCGGGTGTGTCGATGACGTGTCCGCCTCTCATTCGATGTCACGTCAGACAGTCTGACGTGGCGTCGAATGAGAGGCGGACACGTCATTGTCGTGCCCGCCCATTGAATTATCGCGAACAGTGCCTTTAACTTTTTATATGAGAAAAGGCAAGTAGGCAACCCGTTTGACCTTAATTGAGCTCAAATTAATAAACGGCTTTGCTCTTTTGTGCGGGAATTTTATAATGGCTGAGTTAGAGGAAACAAGATCAGATCTCGGTCAGGGTTTGTTCTATTAGGTTGACGCGAAAAGTGCTGAGACACAATTTTTAATGGTTTCGTTTGCCACTTTCGGACCAACCCACATTTTGCCGAAAGTTAGAGTTACACCAGTAACGTTCAAATAGTTTCTCGAGCGCTTCTCTTATAAGCGAATGTTAATGCGATGATTGAGAGATCACTTAGAGCTATCGCTTCTTATGAATGGCGACTCAGCTCCAGCGCTCGCTACTCTGATTCTATAACACACACCATTCGGGGAGGACCTACCTAGCCGTGCCGCCGTTGGTCGTTTACTCTTTTCCTTCCATTTTAAAGATACGATACTCGTTGACATTCATTTCCTTAACGACTAGTTCTATTTGTGAAGACGGACTTTTCCGCTAGGTTGAGAAGAGACCGAGGTTGTTACTAAAGGCTACGAGCATGGAATTGGCGACGCTTCTACCATGAGATCAGAGTGACCTTCGACATAGTTACCCGAACTTAGTCACAGGAAAGTTCTAACTCCTTCATTCTGGCCGACGATCTCTTTCACCCGAGCCTCAATCAGCCTGTCGCTCCTTCTCCCCCCTTGATAGAAAGAGAAGGAATTCTACGCAGGATCTGATGACGGTAGGTAAAATTTTTGTCCTCTATGGCAAGAGTTGCTGTCTTCTAGATAGAGAAATCCGCCTGCGCAAACTGAGCCAGTACAGCACCCGAGAAACGTTTTGTTGCCCTGCTTTAAGGTCTCGATGGAGATGTTATAGCACGAGTTGCTCTATCAGTCAGGACCAGACAGTCATGGCTATCATCTGCACCAGTTTCAGGAACTCTTTCATACAATTGAAGTGACCCAAAAGGGTTCTGTCATCTTCTGCATTATAACGTTCAAAGTCACGTTGCAAACATAATACAGTTCAGATTACTGAGACCTGTTTAGGATACCGCTCCCCTCCTTGTGGTTTTTACCTTCTTACAATTAGACCCCTCTAGCAGGTTCTGAACGGGTCTGGTCGGGAGGTTTGCCACTTTCGATGACCTTATGAAATCTGCCTCTCAACTCTTTCTTTTAAAACCTCCCTACTGTCTAAGCTTCAAACCTTTTTACCTTCGGAGTACTTGTTCGCACTTTGAAGGGGAAATTCAAACTCCGCGTGCTGAGCGTTTTATTATGGTCTTGAAAAAACCATCCCTCAACTAACTGATTACTATGAGGTGACTCTTTTGGTCTATTTCACGTGGGCGTTGTACTTTCTTTTCTGATCATACTACAATTTATATGTAGTAGCCGAAGGTATCGCGCAGTGCTGCAAATGTAGTGGAGTATAATTGCAACCTATACTTCATCCCATTAGGGATCTTTCACTGTTAAAATGGTTGACAATAATGCTCAGAGAAATTATACCGCTATTCTTAGAATATGTTTCACAGAGGCTCTGGTGCCGTACGTTGGGATCGTCATGGCACTCACGGGCAAGACTATATCGAACCGCCTTTGCATACCATTATGTTTGCTATGGGACCAAGTTTCAAGGAAAATTACGTGCTACCTGCCTTCATGAATGTGGAGTACATGAACCTATGGGCAAGTTAGTTATATCGAGTAGAACGAACAGTTGTTTCACGGTTGTTTCTTTATGAAAGTTTCCATTTATAAAAATCGGACTTCAAAACCGAAAAGAGCAAACTTCACTATACATGCTCTATTTCAGAACTATTAGGCATTCCTTTGATGAAAAATGATGGTGACCCTGTTTTCATGGATATGGCTCTACGAAATCACACGACGCCACACCCGAACTACAAGGATACGAGGTGAGTAGTACACGCCAATCATATTCCATAGCGAGATTCGGGCCTCGGGGGAGAAATCGTTTGCTTTTTCAGACGTCCTTCCGCTGTCTCCACTTTTTTTCTGTTTTTCCTCTCTCTCGCTTTTCTTTTTCGAAGTTTTTGTTCCTGCTTTCTGATCGTCTCCTGAATATCATTAGATTGATTCATGCTGAGGTAAAGCCTCATTCCCTCTCTCCCTATCTGAGGTGTCCTCTTTGTTGGTGACACAAGCCTATGACGACTGTCAGCGTACTTCGGAAACAGTCTTTTTGTAACCGGTGTTCCTAGGCACCTTGTATTTAATACTGTAATTCAGGGTATGTACTACGAGCAGCTCCCCGCAGTATTGTGGTGCTTGTTCCAAGGAAGAGGAGGTTAGTGTAGTTAGTATGGAAACCTGTATTTTCTCATTGTTAGGAAAGGCACTACGTTTGATTGTAATCGGAATTTCTTCAGTTCAATATTTGCTTTCACTTAAGCCCAGGCGCAGGATGAGGGTAGCGCAGGGCGTGCGTTTGAGTGTGGTACCGTTTTCTCTGAGGTAATTCTGTTTTGAAGCCGTAGCTAAATGCGAATTCTTACGCGAAACTAAGTTGAAATTCCTCGGAAAGAGATTTCGCCAGAAATTGGCATTCTTATTTGTAAATGGTGCGTGTTACAGAATCGCCGTGAACAGGACACTAGAATAAAGTTACAAAAGGGAATGCTGTTTTCAAAACCACAGTGAGGATACTCATGTTCCGTGGGCTGTTATGCGTATCGCCGATTTTATTTGAGTGGTTGAACCTTATATGCTTCGGAGGGCCCCAAGCACATATTTCATAACGAATATCTCACAGATGTGTGGGATTGCAAGTGGGAGAGAAGCATGTTAGGGAGTCAAAACTGGTTAAACATAACGGCATCATAACAAAGAGCGGTAGCTGGTGCTCTGCAATATCGGTGGGATCTTGGGCCTTTCGAGAAGACGAGCGGTTTGCCACTGAAGGCTCTGTAACATCGACGGCTCCGTCTAGGAAGACTTCGCCTAATTGTAAGACTTCAACCACTGAAGGAGACAAAGAGCTGGAAAGAACTGCATCCAGCAACAAAGTTGGAGGAAAAGTACATTGAGAGCAGCCCGAGGGTGCAAACTGATCGGATTTGGAGAGGTCTGGGCTCAGCAAGCTCCGAAGGAATGACTACAGACTCTTCGGTGCTGAACTTAAGATAGAGTGATCTTACGAATTCTTGGTCAACTGATGTTTCGCAATCCGTCGGTAAACCATGAATCAGTAACAGTATTGTTGATGGGCCGTTCTACCACTTTCTCACTAGCTATTTTTTATAAAATATGTAATGTCGCTGGCCGAGCTGTGCCACAGATGTTGTCCTTCGCANGTCTGGTATGAAAAGGGTTTAACACAGAGCTCATCTTTCTAGAGTTGAAGTATCAACACATACCAAGTCAGGGTTAATGAAACCATAATATTCAGGACATCATCAAGAAATGGGCCACATGCAAAAGCAGCCCTATTTCTCAGGCTATCACCTTGCAAGAGTTCCCTGAATCAAGTGGAGACTTCTGTTTCTTAGGTGGCTGTGCAGATATGGCTGCCATAAGTAGCACAAGGGAGAAAGGCAAGTTCTTTTCTCGAAGCCTTCTTCAAAGCGACAAGGACACTGGGTATTATGTGTAGAATGGTTGTATGTACTTCCAAGGTTATGCAGTTCGAAATCTTTTCATAGCCAATCTTAAATTGGTCTTTTCTTGTAAATTTGGATTCCATCATATAGCGCGTCAGCGGACAACCTAAATTTATGATGACCAACGGTGGGATAGTCTTCAGATGATCGGATTTATTACAATGACTGGGCTGAGTGTTGTACCACTAGTTTTTCAAGAGCTGGGGTGAAAATGATTTGAAAGCTGAACTACCTTTCGACTCCTTTTCTTGTATCGAAGAAGTTAGTAATCGATGAAGTATTGACCATGCTTTCGCGGATTACTGGGTGTAAAGCTGTATAACAAAACATCGAGAAACAACTGCATTCCCTAATTGCCGGTATTTCGTGTTATCCGTTTGAGATAAAGTGTGTTTACATTAGATGTCTGGTGTAGTCTATTTTGTACTCTATCATGAACACGGATGGTGAGTAAACTCTTCTCGTCCCGAGTAGGAAGTGTTCTCATGCTTCCCTTCCAAGAACCCTTCTCATAGCATGTCAAGGTTTTGATGGATCCAAAGATCTACAAGGGTTTTTATGTAGTGGAGCAGGAAGTCGACCTTGCTTGCTTGTTCTGGCTCAAATGATAGCTTTCACTTAGCAAGGCCTTTTGGGATCTTCAAGCCAGTAATATTCTTTCCTCTATGAAAAGCGATAAATGTGGATGTCATTTCACATGTCTGTCTGACTGACTGTGTGTCCGTGAAACTTCCCATGACTACGATAAAGCCGTAAGGTTCATGGGAAACCCACCGCAACCCCAAACAGTCAGGAGTAAGCTGAGAAAGCAGGTTGATATGATGATAGCACTTATACAGCATAGATCACAACAAGTCTGTCCTTCGCCACCAAAGTGTCGTCAAAGAAACTTGTTTATTTCATCTTAACGAAGCCATGACCCGCCTGGTCGCCGGACTTGGGAACTCCTGGACAATGCAATTAAGCAGAAGGCCAGTGTAACACCATAAGAAAGTTTGGTTTCGGTCGAAACCGTCCTTCTCCAGGATGGTAGGATGTCTACGTCAAATACTGGCAGCACGTGGCTATGTTGCCACGATTCTGGCAAACCTTTGAGGAGCTTTGAAAGAATCAGTATTAGACCTTTTTCAATGTACCCTTCATCTTGTTCTGAGTCGAAAGGCGTTGTCCATTGCGCTGCTATTGTGTTGCGGTGTTCGGTGTCGTGACGTTCCACTCGGTGTTGAAACGATCTTGGTTCGGATGACATTTGCGATTGGTATTTTGCCAGCCCTTAATAGTGTGGTTCGCCCATGTTGTAGAGTGATCCCCTCTCTATTTCCGTTTTTGTGAATTACTATTTTCAGTGCATTCTGGCACGTTGATCGAGCTGTATAATCGCGATTCCGAAGATGAAAAACTCTCTAGCGACTGCATTTTCCAATTAACCGAGAATAGAGAGACGCAGTGTGCAGAAATGAAAGATGCCAAGAAGTTCATGAAAAACACGATATCTGCTTACCCTGAGAACGGTATGGTTATTGCAAGATTTGAGGAGTGGGAAAGGTGAGGCACGGAGAGTTCCTCAGTTTTCAATCCGTACTAGTTCATTTTACGTATAAATCCAGACATCGTCGTCCTAAGTTGAAAATGTATAAACAAATCAACACGGAAAGTATCGCCTGACTCAGTTCCTCATGGAATCCGAAAAGCTTTCACTTGAACTTTCCATGAATTGTGTTCCGGTAGAGTGTGTCACTCTTGATGGAGAACCTGAGGAGGCATCATGTGCCAGCCAAGCTATCAGCAGTTCGGGTAACCAAGGTCCAGGTGTAAAATCCCACTGAGTGCCACAAGCCTTAACTACGTACATGCCAAACACATCCTGGTTCTTGTTTTTGATCGTTCGATTCTACCCCATAGAACTAACGCTAGGTTATGTAAAACGTTGGACGTTGTGTACTATGTACAATACTAGTCGGGGATCGTAATGAATGAAAGCGTAACGTACCACTTAATCACCCATATGTGGGGTCGGGCCAAATTTATTGTTTGACTATGAGAGGAGTAATGTAGAAGCGTCAGCATGGTTATTGGCTGGTTTCTTGAACAGTTTTCTATCACTTATTTATTTCATGTTTAGTAATGGCGCATGAGTGGAACCTGATTCCTCCACTGAAACCACGTTTCATAGAAGGTGCGCATCTTCTTCAATTTCTTTGAAGGAATCGATGTCGACATTTATATTGCAGTGTACTTGGACCCACTGAATAATTACACACGAGAGATTGTTTCCAAACGTGGTCAAGTGATTTCTATCACTGGATGGGTATACAACTACAACTACGATGGCATGTATTCAAAGCTGCAGCCACACAGGTAAGTTGCAATCCCTTTTTGCTCCTAATTCGGACACAAAAGGTAAGGATTATTGGACCTTCACTGGTTCCTTGAATTCGGGGATCTATTTAGGAGTCGTTTGAAAGAGATCGCCGTGACATACATCTTTGAGGGCGACGCTCCATGTGCGACCAAAGATGTATGTCACGGCGATCTCATTGGCAGTATTTGAACTCTAGAGCAATGACGGTGAGCTCAGAAACTGCACAGATGAGGGTGTCTAAACGGATGTTGGAAAAGAAGGATAATGGGTATAAGTGGTTAGAGCCAAAATAGGCGGAATGCCATGTATCGACGACAATCATGCACTCTCTCAAGCGTGGCTCGTTGAAGACGGTTGGCAAATTCAGCATGCCCTTGTTTATAACCCACCATCTCTTCCTTACTAATCCTTATTGGTGACACTGGGTTGAATAATAATAATAATAATGAATAACAAGTGAACTCTTGCCATTAATTCCCTGTTGTGTGCTTTGAGATCATCGCATAGTTCTCATCTTACGATCATCAATNGTGTCTCATTGGTCCCTTGTTGTTCATATAGAGTGGGACGTAACGCTGGTGGAACCGCAAAAGTTTGGTCATTTTGCTGGGAACTTTTCAAAGTTCGAGTTTCCGGGAGTTGTTGCAACTAGCCTAGCGCGTTTGGGCGTTTGGTCGGGTACGTCGCAGATTAGGAGCTTCGAACTATTCTCAGTTCCTGAAGACGACGAATCAGTCGGAACGTTGACCAATAAAGCGATTCAGCTAACTAACCTGTACGGCAAAACAGTATAGAACAAATGAAAAACTGTATTGAATGTTCAGAGATTCGTTCCGAACGAGTAGTGGGTCCAATACCGGCAATACTATCATGAACACCGTCCGAGAGCTGTGGGGTGTTGCATGCCGAACCATACCGTACCCCACAAAATGTAGTTTGAGAGTCGTAAATGGCTGGAACAAAAGACCGAAAAGTAACAGCTGACAAGCTCGAAGCTTCAGAAATTCCAGAGAATCAGAACATTTCCTACTTCCGTTTTTTCTTTACGAATGCTCCATTTTGTATATTTCGCTCAAATTCAGAACCGAGCCTACTCATATATTTCGGATTTTAATTGCATGCAAGAAGAATTGGTCAGAAAATGGACCTTATTGTGAAAAGTCAGAAGACACTGAGGCCTTATCCTTCATTTTACCTCACGTGGAAATCGATCATAACTGCCTGGTCAGTTAAACACATAGAAGACTTGGCCCAATGATCAAATTTACTGTTTTGCAGTCCCAGAAAGAGCTACTACTGCAGTATAGCGCAAGAGTAAAAGACGTCGAACAAATTAGCGGACAGTATTTCAACTTGACCAAATTGCCGTATTTGGAGCAGCTTAAATTGAAGTTGCATGTTATCACTGAGCTATGGTAGACTGGATTTACTCGCTAATCTAATTGTCCTGATTCTGAACACTTACTAAAATAAAAATTAATCAATAGAGGAATATCATACCCTCAAACTGGTACGTATCGACCAACTTACAGACGTTTTTCTTCCATTTCTTTTTCATAATCTCGTCCAAACCCTAATTTTGCAGGTTCTTCGAGAGCTTACATCTCTCTGAGTACGCCGATTTTCGTGTTTGGTCAATGGGAATATATTTAGAAATGGAGGGTTGGGCTGGATGCATAAATTTTCGAGCGTTCGTGCAGGGTTAGCAGCTAGTAAATGCCTTTTTGGCCATGACAACGACCGCGAGAATCGATGCACAACAGGGTCCGTGTAGGCTCCCAGACCAATCTATTACCAGTTAATAGGCTCTGAAGAAAAGAAAGGCTTGGCCGTATAGAGGAGGCCTTATATCGAATACTTGTCGACAGGCTGAAATAGCAGCAACGGCATCACTCAGCCTTATTCTAGTACCCATGGCATGGTGGGAGGACTTATCCGAGCGTGAGGAAACCACCCAGCACGGCGATCAGCCCCGATAATATTTTCTCATTTAATTAGACCTATTTGATCCCTACTATGTGAGAAATCCATCCCGTTCAGAAAACCATTTCGACCTCAAAACTTGTACCTGCGTCTTGTCACTTACTCGAGATCTCGGAGTTAAGCACACTACATTCTGTGAAGATTTTTAGCGTTAGACGGTCTTTTCTTTTTTTATCGCTTATTCCAATCATTCCTTTCGAGAGAAAACTCTATCTGCAAACCAGTTGACCTTTAGTAAGGGTAGTTTTTGTACGAATCTCTTCGATTCAGCCGTTTTCCAATCGTTCGACGGCAGCATGCCTTTCATCGATTGCATTTTATCAGATCACCAAAGCACACACATGTTGTTCAAGCGAAACATGCGGGGTTTCTTTTGCTGATAGTTAAACTCCAGGCCGTTCCCCATGGAATTAAACCTCCCTTCATCAGCTGTTATTGATCGACAATTTTTCTCTTGAAATTGCATGCGACATTCATGACATCGTTAAGCGGAGGTGGTTGAATTTTTACTGGCAACATGGTGGAACAGTTGGTTACCTGTTATTATGCGGAATGCGGACTGCCTCCTAAATATAAACCTTTGCTGCCAACTCGTTTTCCCCGTTCAATTTCACCAGGTGTTCCGGCAGTTGGGTGCAATTTAGCCTTTTCCCCATGAATTTGAATTGGCAATCCTCGCTTTCTATTATCTTCTGTTTCTGCTTCTATACCATCAAAGTGCACACTTCTTCATATAATTTTTTTTTTGTTAATTCTTTATCTACTTTTTGCTTTTCATGGCAATTTATGAGAGTAGTCCCATAGGGAATGAGAATGAGTTTAACAAATTGCAAGGTATTACAAAGAAATTGCACCAGAAAGCTTGTTCTGGTGAACCTGAAGAATCTCCAACTTCTTCCCCTAGGTGAAGCCATATAGGTGAGTGTATGCCATTTAGGGCTGTGACACAAACTTGGAACAACTTGCTTTTCTATGGGGCTCTTTCAAGTGCACTTGCCGTTTACTTCCTGATTTTTACTTGCTTCCTTTCCCTTCGCCCTTGTAATTGATTTCCCTCGTGGGTAGTGTGACTGTGGGTTTTCTCTACGAAGGCTGCATGATTCAACAGGCTACTTTGCTTTGCCAATACCTACATAGAATACTACGCACAATCTAGGTCTATCTAGAGTAGCACATCACTCACCACTTCTGCTTCTACTGCTATTTCGAACTGATAAGCTGAAAAAAGTTTAAAAAAACCAAAAAAAGAATATTAGGACAAAGGGCGTGTGTTGCATCTCCTTCGGCGTAGTCCGGCTACCATTCACGATCGTTGATTCAATAGAAATGATTTCTGACGATAATTTTTCCCATTTTTTACGATAATTGGTCCATCTCTCGATTGATCGCACATCTGCGACAACCTTCCCACGAATATACATGAAGAACCTCCCAGATGTTCCGTGGGCCACTTTATTTGCTATCGAATTTAAAGCTACACATCCAGTCATGGTAGGTAAGCTAAAATGTTGCTCATCTATCTACTTTCTTGCTGTTTGCAAAAAAACTTATAAGGACTTTTTTTTGGGAGTAGCTCCCTACGGAAAATTACCCTGTAACCGTCAGTGTGTTTTTTTTGGAGTAGGTACCGACGGGTAAATTACCCCGTAACCGTTGTCAGTGCCTTTTCTATGATACCTGTAAGAAGTGTCTATATTGGGCATTCATATTCAAATTTCTTCGATCAGTTCCACTACCCTTCACTTCGCTATGCTCCCATATGATACAAAAACACTGTCGTGATTGGGAGCCGCTCCCTTGTGAGAAAAAACCGTTCGTTCTCGGCCTGTTTATGATTTTCTCTGGCGTATGACTGTTTACGATGGAAATGATGGTTGAAAATGTACAGGGGAGAAGGGAACCGCTCGAATGTTCCAACATCCATCCATCTTTAATATGAAAGTTTGGGTTAGCAGTAGTGACCGCACTTGATTTGCATAGAAGTTTTGAAAGCTCTCTCGAAACTGTTCAGATTTTGGCATTTTCCATTTCGGTTGCCTTATAACTAGTAATGAATCTGAATCTTATAGCGTAAATAGCACTTTTGGAAAGCAAACCGTAATATTGTTTATTTCTAGAGATGTACGACGAGATTGTTCAGCTTACAGAGCGACAACCGCAACCGTCCACGTCTCGCCTCTCGAGAGCGGTGGGTTTCTTGTACCTGTAAAGGAACAATTGGCGAAGAGACTGTTTCTGCATGTTATATGCCTGAAAGGTCCTTAGGCTCCAAAAAACTTCATGCCTTTTCCCTCTTTCAGGACCAGCTATCGTTTCAGAGGACAAGAAAGGCTGATCCAATCATTCTTGGTCCTTAGGTGCTTTCGAAAACTCCCATAAGTAATGTTGTCACAGCCACTACCAGCCAAGATCGGAGAGATGCGACGTGCTCTTGATTTCCAACTGGTTGGCTTGGGTATATGATTACGAGTTCGCCTCTCCTAAACATTGGTATAGTATCCTAATTAGTTTTGAGGTATCAACTCGGGCAACATTCATACTTATAACTGAATCCGAATAATTTCTCTTTCCTCCCTCACCGCTTCCCTTCTTCCTTCCTAACCATCTCCCTCGTGAGCTTAATGGAGTCGCCTTCGCTAAAGTTGAGGGTCAATTTACTTAGGTGAAATTTGAAATAAACTCGAGCACATGGACTAAGCGTGTGATGCATTCTAGTTGTAGGAACCCTCGCCTTTCCCCTCCCCCTTTAGGGAACCTTCAGGTAGCATCAACTAAACCGAATCGCTTCAGGACGAATCAAGCTCCCACCATGGTACCGCTCCACCTCCTTATACGGCAAACAGGGCAAGTTCCCAGTCAGCGGTGAAACATTCCAGGTGTTCATCGAAATGCAGTCCAGTGTGTCGACTTGCCATGTTGCTACTATTTTACTCAGGTTACTTACTAATTCGCTTACACATTGTCTTAATAATCGAATGCATTCTATGGCAGCTCTAGTGACTAGGGTATGACCAAAATCTATTCGGGTGTTTGCCGGATGGAAAGGATTAAGTTTATGCCTGAGTGTGATAAATCAACTTTCTGGAAACTTCTACAATAAGTTCCCTTTCGAGGTAGTCAGGAATGATTCCTCCCTTCATAGAACCCCTGGGGCTCAGTGCCAATTACGACAGAAGATTGTGTCATCAGTCTGGCCATCTCCAGGTAATTAGTGGGTTGTCCAAAAAGTTCCCGCCGATTTTCGACGCACCGGATTTATCAACTATTGTACAAAAGATGAAGGACTCAACCTCATAAAGTTATATGTTTTCTAAAAGAGTAGGTCTTTCTCTATACCTCTGTTGGGATTCTGTCAACGTTTGTCGGAGTTT